CCCGCAAGCCGCCATCGCCTCGCCGTCGCCCCGCCGCCCCACCGCCGACCGCGCCGCCCCGGAGCCCTGACGCCGCAGCAGAACCCCGCCGGAGCCGCCCCGCCTCGCCGGAGCCTCGCCGGAGGTATACGTTGTCGCCGCCGTCGTTCGGTTTTATTTTAAAACCGTTCAGTTTTTTTAGAAACCCTAGTTTCATTTTTTAGATTAGATCGGTTTTATTCTGTTCTTGTCGGTTTATTTTATTTAGCGGATGCTCGTCCGTACGTTCGTTTTAACGAACGGAGTTCACCCGTTAGCCGCAGACAGCGAACGTTCGTTCGTTAGTCTGTTCGTCAGTTTTTCTTTTTTCAGGGTTTTTTCGCAATTATTTTCGATCGCGATTTCTGCCCTGTTTTTCATTTTAGTTTATCTTTTCGCTCGTTTATCGGAATCAGGCGATTCAAGCGCTAAGATCTTTGTCTCGAAGCCCTCTTTCTGATTAAACAACTTGAACAAGATTTTGGTACTGTAAAATTTGACTTTAGTCCAGATTAGTAAACGAATCTTGTTTCTTTCGCGGTTTGAGTTTTGTTGCTTCGTTTGATTTGATTCTTTTTGCAAACCAGAGTTCTTAAGTTGAACTTTCTGGTTAGATCTCTTATTTGAGTTTTACCCATGCTTTTAGATTGAGTGCTTATTGTATGTTTGCTTGTTTGCAATAGAGTACTCGAAGTGTGAAGCGTGCTACTACGAGTCTCTAGGTTTCACGGATCATCAGCAAGGCAAGTAACACTTTGATCATACATCTTTACTACCCAGTTTTATTGCATTAGATCAACCCTCAAACAATTGCGTGGTTAGGATCTGATTAATATATGGGTTTTGGGAAGTAGATGATGAGGTAGAACCTATTGCCCTGTTTATTATCAAACCTTTGGGAGTCACTTCTACATGATGCTTATACTGCAATGCTATGCTCATAGACATGGTTTGGTTTGAGTGATCCATGACAGATGTGAGTATTGGTAATTAATGGTTAACGTAAGGTGGCCACTATAATACACATCTGGGTGGATTGCTTGAGGCACCCTGGAGTACCCAGTGGTTGTCAGGGCACCTAGAGAATCCAGTGTTGTCCTAGGATATCCCGGAGTACCCGTAATCATCCTACGGTCCGCCACCTAGGATCAAAGGGATCATAAGATTATTCAAGCTAGAAACTTCCGTGTGCAGCCACAAACTATTATGGGCTCTAGCATAGTTGAATATGTTGCAAGACCTCTTTCAGTGGTTGGCTAGCAGATGTAGGGGAAAGTAGGTGTAACTGTCCACCCAGAGTAAAGAGTTATTGTTTTAGAAAGACTGTGTCTCGAATCTCCGACCGTGGATGTATTCGAGTCTTGTGGGGAAAAGTGCGCAAACCTCTGCAGAGTGTACAAACTAATCATGGTTAGTCGTGTCTCCGATTATGAACGTTTTGAGTATCTAGTTCTTGGATTATCATGTTGATCTCGTCACTCTAAATTTAATTTGTTGGGTTTAATGATGATGCTTAATTGGGATTGAGTTGGAGGAACCTTCTCAATGTTTAACAACCACCATGATAGTTAAATAAAGGGAAAATTTGGCTTTTTGCAAAACTGTAACCATAGAGCTTTCCACCAACCATATATGCATGTAGTGATAGCATTTATTCTGTTTATTACCCTATGTGTTACATTGCCAGCATATTCCATGTGCTGACCCATTTCGGGCTGCAACTTTTCATGTTGCAGACTTTTCAGACGACGAGTAAGGTGCCATAGGTCGTTGTCTTACCCTCAGCTATGCCGTTGGAGTTGATGGACTCACTTTATCTTCCAAGCCTTCCGTTGTTATCGATTTTAGATGGCATTAAGCCATACTCCCTCCGTAAACTAATATAAGAGCGTTTAGATTGTTAAATTAGTGATCTAAACGCTCTTATATTAGTTTACAGAGGGAGTATTATTGTAATAAGTTCTTTTTTGGGACATTCGATGTAATATGTGTGTGATTGCTACTCTGTTATAAATCCTCGAGTACTGTGCGTGTCAACATTACCGATCCAGGGATGACACTGATGCACAGGGATCATACTGTTTGAGATCTCGTCACTACCAAAACAGAAAAATTGTATGATGCATAGACTAAAAAATGCCATGATCCATAAACTGTAATTCCCATGATGCATGCACTAAATTTGCCATGGTCCCGTTCAAAAGAAAATTTCCTTGTTGCAAAAAAGAGAAGAAATTCCATGATCCCGTTCAAAAAGTTCAAATCCAGTATGAACAAGAAAATTTGCCATGACAAATTCTTATCAAGAATTGCCATGTTTTCCATGATGAATTTACCATGTGTGAAAAAACACAAAAAATTGGAATCAAGTATGAACGAGAAACTTGCCATGGCAAATTCGTATCAAGAATTGCCATGGCAGATTTGTACGATGAATTTGCCATGTGTGGAAGAACACAAAAAATTGAAAAATCAAGTATGAACATGAAAACATGCCATGTAGATTCGTATCAAAACTTGCCATGGCGGAATCGTATCAAAACTTGCGATGGTGAAAATTCATGTAAACTAAATTTGTCATGATTTGAAAACTAAATTTGCAATGACCAATAAACTAAATTTTCCATGATTACTTAACTAAATTTGCCTTGTTTGTGAAAGTAAAATTTACAGAGGAGAAACAGAGTGAAATCTGCCATGGATGTGTAGTTATATTTTCCATGTCAACAAAGATAGAATTGCCATTTCAAATATAAAAATAGCAAAATTTGAAGAACCTACCATGAGAGCACTACAAAGAAAGCTGAAAATTGCCATGTTTGAAAGACAAGAATGTGATGGACTTCATGAGATCACAATGCTCTCATGGGAAATGAAACCATGGCAAATTGGTTCACTCGCACATGTATGTTAAGTAAATTTGCCATCGTGATGAAGATAAATTTGCCATGCCAAGAAAAACATAAATTTAAATTTGCCATGGTCAGTTACTAAATTTGCCGTGATCGATAAACCAAATTTGTCGTATAAAATTTGAAGAAGTGATATGGCTAACATTCTAATTTGTCATGGTGAGAAAACATCTTTTAGAATGGTGTGTGGGAAAAAAACATCTAAAAATTGCCGTGGCAAAATTATTCTAACTAGCTAATTTGCCATGGCAAAAAGGAGCTATGTGATGTACTTGACATGTGATCACACTACTAAAACAAAACAAAAACTGGGCATGGCGGGGGCGGGGGTGGGGGGTTACAAAAGCTGGGCATCTATTTTGCCATGGCAACTATGAATTGAACATGGGAGGTGGGATATCAAAGCTATCGCATACATGGACCTGCCGCTGAGGTACATCGACTCCGTCAACAACGATCCTAGAGGAACCAAACTTGACATGAGCTTACTCAAACTTGCCATATGCCTACGTCTGAGATGTTTTTTGCCACAGGGACATTTTGAAAACACATTTTATGCAAAATTGACATGGACATGATAAAATTCAAAAATGTGTAAACTACAAAAATTCATAATTCCTACACACACCACGCCACACAGAGCAATAAACAAAATGGATCAGCCCGCTACCACAGCGGCGAGCAAGCGAAGGGAGCACCTTGACCTGGGATGCGGATGCGAACGAGGACAGATAAGTGTGCAAGCCCGCACTTGCCACACGCCAATGGTGAAGCACTTGGTCGCGGCCCCCACGCAGCATTGGAGCCACTGGAGGTCGCCCTCCCCGGCGCATTGCCGGAGCCACTCGAGCTCGTCCTCCGGGGCTGAGGGCGAGGGCTTCTACAGCGCGGTCATGGTGCCCCCTGCTCGCGCCGGAGTTGCCCCTGCTCGTGCCGCCACGGCCCCTGCTCACGTCGGAGCTACCCCCGCTCGCGCCACCGCGGCCCCTTCTCGGGCCGGAGCTGCCCCCGCTCGCATAACCGCGGCCCCTGCTCGCGCCGGAGGTGCCCCCGCTCGCGCCGCCGTGGCCCCACTCGGGTCGGAGCTGCCCCCATTCGTGCCACCGCGGCCGTGGTGCTCCTGCTCACGCCGATGCGGGCCGACGGTGCAGCTCCAAGCGCGGTGCTCTCCGCCTCCGCCTCAGCAGCTCGAACCCCAGCAGCCGCGCGCGCCTTCCCTCGCCGTCAGCCCGATCCCCCGCCGGGCGCCATGCTCCTGTTCGGGGGATGGCATAGCGCTCCAACGAGCCAGTTAGATGATGTGTCAACCGGTCCTGCTTTAAGATCCGTGATCATCATCAGATGATTACAACAACGTCAGGACGAAGTGTCTTCGTGCACACGTGTGCCATTTATCATTTAGGTAGAAAATGGACTTGCCCAAATTTAAAAATCAGGTAACTTACATATAGTTAATGGATGAGAATTAGCATATCTGTAAAGAGAGAGGGAGGGGGGAGCCGATTTGCAGACACCATGCATGCCGATGCCGCCGCCGCGCGCATCGATGACCATCATCTGCCACTGCGCACTCGGTCACCTCCTAAGTTGCCGCTCCATCTTTTGCTCCCCAGCGGTTCCTGGCTTCCTGCTCGCCCGGCCTCTCCTCCTCTCTATCTCTTCCCGTCCTCTCCCTCACGCGCGTTTGGATCGACCCCCGGTGAAGCTGCATGCGCTGAGGGCGACAACGTACCGTCCCACCGTACATGTGCATGTGGTGTGGAAGGGAAGGAGAGACGAAAGAGAACGATCGACCCGTCAATTGGTGATCACCGTGGGCAGGCACGTCGTCGTAGGTAGGTGGTGCATGCATGAGCAAGAAGAAGAGAGAAGGAGGCGGAGGAGGAAAAGGCGGTGGGGGAGGGGCTCATCAGCACAGGGGAGGCGGCGGCGGGCCGACGGCGGTAACGGATGTGCTCTCCATGGACGGCGGCCTCCGCGAGGTGTCGGTCTCGGTCGTCTTCTCCGTCTGGTGTCTCCTTTTCCTCCTGCGCTCCCAGTTCCTCAACAGCCAGACCGACGACCCTTCCGGTAACTATCTTCTTCTATCCCCTTCCCTTCGATGCCGCGATGCCGATCCGTCTCGTCGTCATGTCTGCGTGGTTGAATGAACCGGTGGATCGGTCGGCGCAGATTTCTACGGCGAGCGCGACAACTACTGCAAGGTCATGCCACTGGAGGCATACATATTCCCGGCCGATAACGCCTCCTCCCCGACGTGCCAATCCTCCTCCTCGCCGCACCGCCCAGCTGAAGCGCTACCACCGTCCAACGCAAGCGGCGGCAACTCGTCGACCGAGGCGGCCTTTGTGGAGCTGGACGAGTTCCGGAGCCGCATCCTGCAGGGCAAGGCCGACAACGACAGCGGCCGGCACCACCAGCGCGTCGCCGACGGCGCCACGCACCGCCTCGAGCCTAGCGGCGCCGAGTACAACTACGCGGCGGCGTCCAAGGGAGCCAAGGTGCTCGCCCATAACAAGGAGGCCAAGGGCGCCTCGAACATCCTCGACGGCGACAAGGACCGCTACCTCCGCAACCCGTGCTCCGCTGACGACAAGTTCGTCGTGGTGCAGCTCTCCGAGGAGACGCTGGTCCACACCGTGGCGCTGGCTAACCTGGAGCACTACTCCTCCAACTTCAGAGACCTGGAGCTGTACGGCAGCCTGAGCTACCCGGGGGAGGCGTGGGAGCTGCTGGGGCGGTTCACGGCGGAGAACGCCAAGCACGCTCAGCGCTTCGTGCTGGCGGAGCCCCGGTGGACGCGCTACCTCCGGCTGCGCCTCGTCAGCCACTACGGCTCCGGGTTCTACTGCATCCTCAGCTACCTCGAGGTGTACGGCATCGACGCCGTGGAGCGGATGCTGCAGGACTTCGTCGTCAGCCACAGCCCCGACGCGGACGCCGCAAAGGCCGCCGCCGACGCCCGTAAGGACAGCGGCCACAACGACACCGCCGGCTCCCAGGTCAACGCCAGGCAGGTGGAGGGCAGCGGGCGGAACGACAGCGCCGGCGACGTGGCCAAGAACAACGGCTCGAGGGTGGCGGACGGGAAGCCCGCGCAGGCGCAGGGCAAGGAGGCGGTGAAGCAGGCGACGGGGCGGGTGCACGGCGACGTGGTGCTCAAGATCCTGATGCAGAAGCTGAGGTCCCTGGAGCTGGGGCTGTCGACGCTGGAGGACTACACCAAGATGCTGAACCAGAGGTACGGCGGCAAGCTGCCGGACCTGCACAACGGGCTGACGCAGACAGGCAAGGAGCTGGAGAAGATGAAGGCGGACGTGGAGGAGCTGGTGGAGTGGAAGGACAAGGTGGTACGTACTCAGTTCGTTCGCCCCAACCTTGTGTGATGCATGCAACTGAAAGGGCAAGTGGTTTGAATTTCTTTTGTTGTCTCTCGTTTTGGTTCAGGCGAGGGATGTGGGAGAGCTGAGGGACTGGAAATCAAGCGTCTCGAGGAAACTAGACCATCTGGTCAGGGAGAACGCGGCGATGAGGCAAGGACCCATCACCCATGCCATGATACGCGACGAGGTAAAGCGGCCGGATCGGGATTGTTTTGACGTGGATGTGCGCGCAGGTGGGATGTGGAGGAGATGAGGAGCATCCAGGAGACGCTTCAGAACAAGGAGCTGGCGGTGCTTTCCATCAGCCTCTTCTTGGCGTGCGTCGCGCTCTTCAAGCTGGCGTGCGACCGCTTGCTGCTGCTCTTCGCCAGCAAGGAGGAGGACGGGGCAGGGACGGGGTGGATGCTCGTGTTGGCGGCCAGCAGCCTCACCACCCTCATCGTGTCTACAGCTGAATGATTTGTTAGGCATATAGAATAATAATAATGACTCCTTTGCGAGCTAGACCTCGTTACCTTCTTTCTGGTCATGTTATGACTTAGCAAGTCATTAGGCAATCTAATTCTCCCCTCGTTTAGCACAGTTAGTCTTGTTTTACAAGAGAAATAAAGTACAAGAAAAATGGGAATACTGTGCGGTGTGTTAGCGAGGCTTTCAACCATCACTGCTTAAACTCACTGAAAAAAATAGCACGCTATAGCGTCGCTAATAGCACGCTATAGCATATTGAGAATTGCCTCGCTAAATATATCGGTGTACAACATCTCGCCAATAGCACGCTATAGCATGCTAATAGCATATTTTTAGGTCGCCGCTATTTTGTTGTAGCGCGCTATTTTTTTCATTGTTAAACTACAAGACCGCTATGGAAGACATAACGAGGAACCAATGAAAAAAGTCATGCAATACTTTCGTCTGCAACGAGAAATGGGTTCATTTCATACCAGACAACACAAGAGTGGTGCAGCAGGCGTCAGTGGAACAAGTTACAGACCACAAAAAATTTAATGGACAATTGAGCGAGCAAATTATTGAGGCACTGTTGCAATTGTGTGCTCGTCTTGCTGGCATTCAGCACTGAAACTTTTCAGAAACAAAATTGTGAAACAAGACAGGTAATTTCGACAAGCATCAGCTAACAGTATTTATAAGGCGCGCCTCGGCATCTAATTCAGACCTTATAGCCGGTTAAGGTGAATCCTCTGCCTGCAATCTCGCCTATGCAGAACCATGCATAAAGCTCAACCCCAAACAGTGTTGCAATTCCAAGGTCCTCCACCCTGAGCTCCTTCCTATTCTTCCAAAGCTGCTTGACACCATCAACCTCCTTCCACAATGCTTCATAGCGGCCTGGTAGACTGAAGAAAACAGCAAATATATACAAGCCACTGATCAGACTCCAGAGAACAAAGGAATGGCTTAAGCACAATAGAAAACATTCACAGCGGCAAGGAAAAACAAGCAAAATTCCTTGCACTGATCAGCATAGCTGTGCATCATCAAATTACGGCTCATGAAAGATATAGTGTTGCACTCCATTTGAAGATAGCAAAAGCGTAAATATACCAAATGGAGAACCGGGCCTATGGGGAACTAGCCCATGTGGCTTAGTATTGGTTATGAAGAACAGCCATGACCACTACTGCAGCGACCAGGCCTTGAACATGGGCTTCCCATGCAATCACACCACTGGCCAGCTGAAGCCCAGTTCTCAACACGGAAAAATACACGTTTAGTCCTCTCCTACAAGTGCAGCCGTAGTCTGGTCTTCCTACCACACACAACAACTAATCACTATTGTACCGCGTACCATCTGGAAGTTGCATTACCAAGGTAAACATGGCTCATGGCACAGCATTTGCCACAATGTCAAATAAAAATCTGTGATAGGGAATGCAAGTTGGAAAACAATGCATTGAACAGTTCAAATTGGCAAACAATCTTGATTAATCATATTGTGTCAAACTAAACCGCTGGTTAAGTCATCGTTAAAGGAATATATGAATGTATCAATCATGATTCAACTGGTGATGTAAGTTTGCTTGAAACCGAACTCAGCTAGTTCTCTGGTTCAGCAAAACAAGGTTATGACCAGGTCAAGTGTCCATCCCATCCTATATCTCAAACTACTAGAGTGAAGTTCATAATATTTCCAAAAAGGACCACATGAATCTGGATTATATAACCACTCATGGATACCTCGAAATGTAAACAACAACAACAACAACAACACACAACCAGAATACGGATGCACTTGACTGAGGTTGCACTTTTTGCACAAAGTAGCTAATAAGACCAAAGATTCAAAACATACAGAAGTCAAGAAGCAACGAAACTCAAGGTTTTACTATGTCAGTCAGTCAAACCTGCCCATACATGTAGAAATATCCTACACTCTTCTTGCCAATAACTCAGATCAGCATGATATTTTGATGAAATATTTGCAGGCAACAGTTGAATCGATTTCTTTGCAAACATGCAGAAAAATGACAAATGTTTCACAGAGAGCTATATGTGCTAAGACTCACTTCTCGAATATCATACATAGTAGATTACCTTTTATTTATGATATATCGACTTCACAAGAGACTATGCTTTCACCTAAACAATCGTCCTTTATGCTACATCTGTGATGTCTCCATGCAACATGGGTCAAAGAAAAATATAAAAAACATAGCAACAAAATAAAGCTGCACAGGTGATCAGGCATAAGCATGGCATATATTGTTTCCATTACGAAATCTCAAACTTGTGCCAACTCCAGGACAGACATATTTCCCTCACACATTGCATGACTTGCAGAATTGTGATTTATCCATTAAAACCAATTATTGAACATTGCATATCTTGTTCGATTTAAGTGACAGTTATCATTTCAAGGAACAAAGGTGCATCTCCATCCACATACAAAGTTTAGCAATCATAAATAGTGCTCTACAAGAGGGTCATCCAGTTAGGAGCAGGCGACACTGTCCCACCACGCACACCTAGCTGAATTGCTCTGTCCTGGTAGCTGCCCAGAGTAAGCATCATGTGAGCAATTAGCATAGTCCCTGCCTAGCAAAGCATAAGCACCGGCTCACAGTCAAAAAAAAAGCATAAGCCCCGGCTAACTAGAAATTGCTGATGTAGCAACGGTCTTCCCCCAACCACTCAGATTTGAGCTACATTGTGGATGGCACATACAAGAGATCTCCAAAATTCCCGTATGCTAAAGTTCATAAATAGTGCAGAAAGTGAAGAACTAGACAATCGCTCAATCGTCCAGTCACAAGTGGCAGAGGCTATACATTGAACACTTTATATCTAATTTATGTAAAGAAGTTTGTATCCACCAAATACATCGATAACTAACCGTAGAAGGCCACACATTGCCACAGACACGAGTGGACCACCCCATACTACGATCCGGTCCAGCTAGGCAGGCAGTAATAGAGATGGTAGGCAATTACGGGGCAAACCTCAACCACACCATGACCACCCCCGTTGCTACAAGCACAAGCAGATCCACTGATACTGCGCAACAGCCCCGATTGGAACCACACCACATGTACAGACGGTTGGACACATAAATCATTCAGGGGCTTTACCTAGCGAGGCGCGTGTAGAAGAGCTGCTTGGAGAGCTCCTGGCACTTCTCCACGGAGGGAGGCTGCACGACGTACTGCTTGTTCTTCTCCATCGCCTCCTTGTAGTAGGCGCCGCCGTGCTTCGAGGCGAATTCCGCCGCCTGCGCCGCCTTGGTCCGCAGCTGCGCGAGCCTCGCCGCCATCGCCGCCGGAACCTACGATGCGCACGCGGAAAGGGGTCAAATCGAAAGTATCAGATCTGGTTGCGCGGATCTAGTGGCGGATTAGGCTGAAGAGAGTCGTTTGTCTGATGGGAGAGGCTAGGGCTTTGGATTGGGAAGTACCTTGACGAAACGTCGGCAAGAGGCGAGGAGGAGGTGAGGTGGGAGGAGATCGAGAGGGAGGGGGGAGGAGGACGGCGGCGGGATGGTAGGGGTGTGGGTGCTCAAGTATGGGAGGGGAAAACGGTGGGCGAACGACCGAAGGGTATTATTGTCAGTTCACTGGTTTTGGCCACCAGAAGTTGAGGGTATTATTGTCACTTCATTGGTTTTGGGCAGGAGAAGTTGTTTACCTCATGCTACTCATAGTGGGGAGTAGTCCTGGCCATCTCAGTCCCGGCCCTGTCGGTCCATCCAGGCCCGGCCCTAAAATCCAGGGCCTAGGCCCGATGGGCTTGCCCGTGGGCCAGGCTAGGGCCTGAGTTTTGAGCCCACCAGCAGGGCCTGGACGGGCTTGGGCTTGGCATACCGACATTTTAAGGAAGAGGCCCGGCCCATGGCCCTAAGCCCTAAGGGCTTTTCAGGGCTTTTTACCAGATGGGCGGGCTTGGGCTTGAAAAGTAGGCCCGATGGTAGGGCCTGGGAGGGCCCGGGCCTCAGTTTTTTGCCATGGGCTTTTTTAGGCCCGGCCCAAGCCCGGCCCGGCCCGGCCCATGGCCAGATATAGTGGGGTGTATCATACACTAGTATCATGCATATGATACTAGTTTATGATACTACCTCCATAGTGCATAGTATCATAAAGTAGTATCATAGATGGTCATATTTATTTTCATGCATGACACAAAGTAACATATCATTTAACATGATATGGTATCTACATATATTAATCTAAGGCTGGTCGTAATGGGAGTATCATAGGTAGTATCATGCATGTCAATTAAGCAATTTTGATGAGGTGGCATAAAATTAAATGAAGAAAGAGAGGCTTGAGTATCATATCATGATACCGTATCGTATTAAATGATGTACTACTTTGTGTCATGCATGTCAATAAATATAGTCTTATATGATACAAACATATGATAGTATGCATTACGGATGTAGTATCATACACTAGTATCATATGCATGATACTAGTATATGATATGATACTAGTGTATGATACTCCCCATTACAACCAGCCTAACCCTCTCTTTTTTCTTTAATTGTGTGCCACATAAGCATGTTTGCTAGTCTCAAGTGCATGTTACCGGTTATGTTACTTCCACTATGGCCAGCCTCAGGGGGTCCACGTGTCTAAACAAGAATGTAGGCATGTTTGGTCGTCTGCATTCAGCCCAACCGGCCCGCGCTGAAAGAAGAAAGAAGTTGGGTTGTTCAATTGCTCGGGTTTACTATTTGGATTGCATGAATTTGAAGCACCTCAAAGCCAAGCCCACTAGAAACCCCTGAACCGGTAGTTTCTAGCAACCGAGACTTGGACGAAACAGAGGAGGGGAAGCGGTGTGGAGCTCATGCTACCACGGAGATGGCTCGAGCTCGCGCGCGTCTCTGAAAAATTGGCGGGAGGACTTCGGGTTACCTCCCACCGATCCGGTCGCACTACATAGTCGCCTTCACCTCACCGCCCAAACTCCCAC